CAGTTGAGGAGATCGATAAGGATTCACCGGAGGAAGGAAAGGGGAGGGCGGGGGAGGAAATGCTTTTAAGGTAGACAACAGGGCAAACCTGAGCTCATTGGAAACGAAAGGAAAATGGTGCAGAAAGCAAGCCATGATGCGATCCGATTGAATCATGTGAGAAGCAAAATTGTTCTCAATTTCAACTGCTCCCTACTCATCCTCCTCCTCCTCCTCATCCTCATCCTCCTCCTCCTCCTCCTCCTTCGTCCTGTCTCATCCTTCACGCTCCCTCTCTCTTCCGATCCTCTTTCAGCTTTTCAAGGAAATGAGGCGGAGCATTGAGAGCTCAGCGCATTCTGCTGAACATCTGAGTGAGCAAGGTGAGATTTTTTTGGAATGACAACAATGACGACGACAACGACAACGACGATGACGATGACGACTGCAGATGAAACTGCCCAACGGCTCGTCGACTTCCTACAGATCGCGGGCAAGAGAAGCTTTGTGCGGGGGCAGGTGGGAGGCTGGTCGAGATGAGGAGAAGGCCTTTGTGAGTGGAGACCAGGTGGAGGAGCTGGAAAAGAACATCCAGTCAGCCCAGCACGAGATCGAAGTCATCATGCAGAGCGTGTCGATCGTGGAGACCAGGCAGGTTCGCTCCGACGCCCTGAGGTGCTCCTGGTGCCTGACTGGTCGTGGAAGCTCGACGGGGTTCTGCGAGGCATCGAGGACAACACGAGGTGTGTTTGAAAAGTTTGACTAGTTCGACAACGGGCTACGAACGAGGCTAACAGGGCGGCAACTGCAATCCTCCTTTGACGTGCGTTCTTCTCGCGCTCACTCTTCTCTTGCTCAGTGTGCTTTTTGCCACAACGTCTGCGATGAAGGTAACGATCGGAGATCTCAACCACTTTCCCTCCTCCCTCCTCCCTCCTCCCTCCTCCCTCCTCCCTCCTCCCTCCCCTTCCCTCCCTCCTCCCTCCCCTTCCCTGCCTCCTCCCTCCTCCACTCTCCTACCAACTTTCCCTCCCTCCCTGCTCTCTGCAATTTCTTTCATCTCCCTGTGATGCGGGTGACTTGAGTTATCTCAGAGCACGTCTCTGAGTGTGAAGGCGATCCAAATCATCCTCCTGGTGCTCCTTGTCTTCAACCTCATCGACAGAATAGGGGGAGGGTCGCTGAATGTGCCTGCCCCTACCTGGGTCATCGATCTCATCAAGGTTCTCCTCCTCCTCCTCCTCCTCCTCCTCCTCCTCCTCCTCCTCCTCCTCTCTCACTCTCTCACTCTCTCACTCTCTCTCTCACTCTCTCTCTCACTCACTCTCTCACTCACTCACTCTCTCACTCACTCACTCACTCACTCACTCACTCTTCCTCTCGCTCTTCCCCTCTCTCTTCCTCTCGCTCCTCTTCTTCCTCCTCCTCCTTTCCTCGCCTCTCTCTCCTCCTTCTGCCTCTTCGTCTTCGTCCACCTCCCAGCCGTCTCCCCGACTTCCTCCCTCAATCTCCTCAACTTTCTTCTCACCCTTCTCCTCCTCTCACGGTACGAGATGACGTAGCTTTCATCTCACAGAAGCCCCTCATGGATCCTCCCTTCCTCTGGTTTATCGTCAACGTTGCTCTCGCCGCCATCATCACGTACCTCGCTAACTACTGGGAGGTTCGCCAGATCTCGTCCTGCCCTTCCCCTCCCACTCTTAGTTCCTCCTGCCTGTCCTCCTCCTGCGCCTTCGCTTTCCCCCTCCCCTCGTTCCCCTGCCTCCTCCTCCTCATCTCTTATCGCTCCTCCTCGCCCATTCCACTTCCGCCATCTTCGCCCTTGTCGCACCTCAACCTTGTCCGCCAGCGCGTCTCCCTCCAGCGCCATCAGAAGCAGATGGCCTGTGAGCTGCACTGCCGAGCTCCCATCCTCGACCTGAACAAGCTTGAGGTGAAAACCTTCCTCCTCCTCACCTTCAACTTCTATCATACTACCACCACCGCTGCCGCCACCTCCTCTCCCCTCTCCTGCCTCTCCTGCCTCTCCTATCCCTTTCCTCTCCTCCTCCTCCTCATCATCATCATCTTTTTCTTGTTCTTCTTGTTCTTGTTCTTCTTGTTCTTCTTCTTCTTCTACTTCTTCTTCTTCTTCTTCTTCTTCTTCTTCTTCTTCTTCTTCTTCTTCTTCTTTCCTTCGCTTTCACCGTCTCCTTCGCTCAAGTACCACAGAAATTCTTGCAGAGAAGACTTCCGTTCCTCAACCAGCGTTCCAACTTTGACCTGGACAGGTTCTTGTTCTCTCTCTCTTCATTCTCTTCCTCCTCTGCCCAGTTTCCTCAATCTCCTTACGATGTTGTCTCCCTTGCCTCTCCCGTCCTCTTTCCCGTCTCTTATCCCTCTGATTCTATCCTGCCCCTGCCCTGCAACCCGCTCCTTCTCCTTCCTCCTCACCTCTCCTCCTCTCCTCCTCTCCTCCTCTCCTCCTCTCCTCCTCACGATGCTGTTGTTACCTAGCGTGTCCTGCATGGTCCGATGGAAAGAGCCGATCACCGCTGACCTATGGAAATGGGGAGGAGCGCCGCCAGAGGTTTGCGAGATGCGTTTCCTCTTTCCCTGATGTCTGACAAGACCTCTGCACCTCTCCCATCCCTCTCCTTCCATTCCTCCCTCATCTTCTCTTTGCTTTCCTTTCGCTCCATCCCTCCTTTCCACCTCCCTCCTTTCGCTCCATCCCACGTTCTCCCTCCCCTCCCGCCCACCCATCCTAGTGGTATACAAAAACTAGGCAAATCACCCAACGCACCAAGAGGATGTACTACCTTGTCCCGGTTCTC